AATTCATTTGACTTTGAAACCTGTCCAGATTATAGATGCTGTTTCAGAAATAAAAATAGTATTATTAAATAAATTAGTTGATATATGAAAGTCGTCTAGTAGGTCTCAGGGGGAGAGAAAAATGGAAGGGAGTGTTAGACACATCAAGATATGAGTTACAATGGTCTTGGGACCTGGTATGAGCATATGCATGTCCATTATATTATGTTCTGTGGCTTTTAAATTCTGAAATATTTTAGGACAAAATTCAGAAATTACAGTTAAGAAGAAGAAGAAGCCTCTGTATCTCGTTTATAATGAAAGCCAACTTCTGTCTTTCATTCCTTCATGTCCCACTCCTCAGAGATAATTGTGATTATTCTTCCAGTTTTCCCTTCATACTCAGCTCTGCATTTCTAACTAGACATTTATGCTACTGTTTGTTGAGCTTTCAGTGTTTTAATATTTACGTTACTAATGTTTTTCTATGAAAGAGGAGGACTCTATCTTCACCTTACTTCCTCTATTTTCCTAAGTGGGTTATGTAGTGCTACCTCCATTCTTGACATTAATACATTCTCAGAGTACAAAGAGGACCAAAATTGATGAATACCAAACAAATTGTTTTGGCTGGAAAGGGAAGCAAATCGTGAGACAACCAACACCAAGTTTACCACTTGCACATTGAGTACCAAATGAGTGTCAGACCAAATTTTCATGCCAAAATGTGTTGAATATTAAATTTGAAGAGTTTCAAAGCAGCCCAATACAAGGTGTGGCTGTAAAGTTTTCATTAATGAGTAACCTGTGTTTTTCAATCATTACTGTGAAAATACTATTCACAAGGCATTATATCTCCTTTTATGTACACCTGTTATCTTCTCTAAAGTTGATAGGTGAATTGAGACTTTTCTTGAATTTGTGAATTCCTTCAAATCCTCCTATAGAACCCCTAAACCCTTTTTTTCCCCCTCTTTTTATCGGTACCGGGGATCGAACTCACGACCGCCTGCTTGCAAGGCAGGTACTTATGCCACTGAGCTAAATCCCCAGCCCCCTAAACACTTCTTAAAATAATCCAATATGACAGACCATTCAAACTCTCCCATCTTCCAAGTAATTCCTTTGAGCATGCTTGGAGCATGATTGGAGAACCAATCTGGGTTTGCTGCAAAGCCATCACCCTGTGATCACACAGAGCATTTTTACTGTGACTTTGTTAGATCCCTGGATCCTGGATTTAATTTCCATCCATTTCATGCTTTGTTCCCTTGCTTTGATGGAGCATATCTCTCGGGAGTCTCCTAAGGAATGATGCAATGAAAATGAATGTTTTGAAACATTTTGTTCCTAAGAGTACCCATTATTTTGTTCTCACTCTTAAGCATGTGTCTCTATTTAGAATCTCAGGCTGAAATAAATTTCTTTTTTTTTTTTTTTGTCTTTTTCCTTTTTATCGGTACCAGGGATCGAACTCACAACTGCCTGCTTGCAAGGCAGGCACTTATGCCGCTGAGCTAAATCCCCAGCCCCTATAAATTTCCCTTAGAAATTTGAGGGCACTGTCTCATTATTCCAGAATCTAGTATAACTATCGAGAAGTCTTTTACTGTGTCTTGAAAATTCGAAAAAATTTGGTTATTTTCTCTCTATCCAAATATTTTGCAATTTAAGTCATATCACCTCTTGATGTGAGTTTTCTTGTGTTACCATTAATGATGCTAGGACTTGGGGAACCAGCCAGGAAAGCAATCAGCCAGCCTTCCTGGTAAGTGGGCATGGGGCATGTGTGCACCTGTGAGCCTACTAGTGCATGGGCTGGGAATCAAACGTGTTCCCTACTCCCGTTAGCAACCAGATAGTTCCAACGACAGCCTGAGTTGATAACAACTAAGGTATGTAAAGCAACTAAATGCTTGTATTGTTTGGTTGATTAGGCAGCCCTGGGGCCAGAAGTCTGAGTATCTCTCTGGAGGATGACAGTGTGCAATATAGCAAACATGGGGCATTTCCTTCTATCTTGTCTTTGAAGGCCAATATTGTTTTCACTGTTTTGCTTTGTTCTGATTAATTGTTTTGCTCTATTCAATATTCTGTTTTGATTGGTTTTATTCTGTTTTGTTTTTGATTTGAATTTGCTATACCTGATGGAATGGACAACTATTACGAAGATAATGAGATATATTGCGGTAATTATTATTGTTTTCCTGGTATTGTGCTCTGAAGTTCTGCATCTCACTTACCTCACTGTGACAAAGTCCAACCTCAAGTATGTGCTGCATCTTTCTACCATTTTTGTTGCATTGTCTTGATTGGCTTTGTTTTGTTGTATTTTACTATCTTAAAAATTTTTTTGTTAACATCTTCTAGCCAACACTTGTGGTAAGTGGGCCAAACTGATTGGAGATTAAATTCCTATATTATTTCTTTTATAATTTTTCATATCATTTTTACTTATCAGTTTCTGAGATGTGTCTCTATTGATCCCCCTGGATTGAGCTTTTGTTTTAAATATAACCTTTACTATTTCTCTCCTATTTTATTCTTTTGACTATTCACCTATTGATTACTTCACCTGTCGTATTTTTAATTTCAATGAGTTCTTTCCAGTTCTCTATGTAATTTTTTTTACTTTTTTGCATTTTAAGTGTTTGGGGATGTAAAATATTGTCTTTGCTAATAATATTAAATATTTTAGTTTATTTTCATATTTACTTTTGCTCCCTAGATTGTCTCTATTCCTTCAAAGTTTCTTTCAGACCTTTTTTTTTTAAACACTATATTCCTTTTTCAGATGCTGGTGACTGTGTGTGCAATCTGTTTATGAAAGAGAGATAGGAAAGCTGACTGGCAGCTCTCACACACATGGGCAGGACTGGTGAACTATGACCTTCACTGCAGAGAAGCGAGACAGAGACATTTAGTATGATGTAGTAGTTAGGATGAGATGTGTTTGAACACAACACAAAATCCCAAAATAACGCATTCTTAATAAAATTAAAATGTACTTTTCTGTCAGATACAAGTTTTGGTAGTCCAGGATTTCTATGGGAATGCCACATCCTCAGGGGTGTAGGGAACATCTACCCTGTTACCGCTGTCTCTTACTACAGTGCCTGTTGATCTGATTTCTCAAACTAACCATTGCATTTGCACTATGGACAGAAGAAAGAGGGAAAACAAAATAAAAGTAAATCTTCAGTCTTTTTCAAGAAGTTCCACACAATATTTAGTTTACAGATTTTTCCAAGAAGTTGAAAGATCGACCCATTTACCTTTAAGCAAGGTTACAAAGTGTAGTGTTATAGTAGGCTGCGTTGTCACATCTAAGGAAAATGGAGTCTCCTTCAGAACAGAAAATGACAATGGATGAATGTCTCAAGAAGTTACTAGCAGCCTGGGCCACTGAGATTTCTCCAGTGTCCGTATCTCTAAATCTTTTCTCCTAGATGCCTGTGGTGCCCTACGCCATATCTCCTTGGCATCCCTTTGCCTTACCTGCAGCAGTGGTGGACAGGTTTGTACAGCTCACCTCACTGTGACAAAGTCCAATCTTAAGTACATGCTGCATCTTTCTAATTTCTACCAGTGATACCGGAGAGCTGCCAGGTCAGTGTCAAGATGCATCGCAGAAGTGTAAGGCAGTAGGTATCATCAAGGACAAACCTCACCCAGTGCAGACTGGACAGGAAGCAGGAAGGTTCCAGCCTCCTGTACACTGAAAACATTAACAGCTAAACAGTGCTCTGGAGGCGTCTCGGGGGCTGGTGGAGTCAAGCGCTGGCTGTCCCTAGCAGAAAGCTGGATTCTGTGTCCTTGTCTTGTACTTGCACTGACCTTCCCTTCTTCCCTATCTCATTCCACTTGCTTCCTGGGACTGTGTCCCTCCTCCAAAAATAATAGGATCAGGAGCTTCACAAGTTTTGCTTTTAATGAACTCAACCTAAATGAAAAGGAATCTTGAATTTTAAGCTTAAATTCTATATCTCCTATATTCACATATAAATTCTTATATCTCCGATACTCACATATAGTAAGCAGAAAATAAAAAGGAAATAAAAAATTTTCAAATTCCTTGTTATGCTTTATACTGTGATTCATTTCCCATGACTGTGAAATATGGTTAAAGAAATAATATGAACTCAGTTGTCACCTAAATGGAACAGATGAGGTTTGGAACGGGAATCTATTATAAGGCTGGGCATGGCACACATGCCTGTTATCCCAGCACTCGGGAGCCTGAGGTAGGAGGATCATTGTGAGTCAAGGCCAGCCTGAAGTGCATACCAAAGGTCTGCCTCAAAAAGATTAAAAAAAGAATATATTACCACTAGTTTACAGATTTAGCAGGTGTTTTGAAAAAAATGCATGTTTCATATTTTTGACTGTAAAAGTTGACTTTTACAGGAAGTTTTAGAAAATATAGTAACCTGAAATTGACACTATGGTTAAAAATTGAGTGTGCAGGGGCTGGGGATTTAGCTCAGCAGCATAAGCGCCTGCCTTGCAAGCAGGCAGTCGTGAGTTCGATCCCTGGTACCGATAAAAAGGAAAAAGACAAAAAAAAATTGAGTGTGCAAATATACTTTTACACTTGTTACACCAATGCAATGAATTGGGTATACATCCCACTCCTTTCCCTAACATAGCACCACAGCTTATAGGTGATTAATGGATTCCTGATGAATAAATGAGGGATGAATGAGTAGAATGATAGTTTATAGTTTAAACTGAAAATAACATGCTGACATAATTGAGGTAAGTTTTGAGGACATACTGTGTATAAAATTTTCACAAAATGTGAAACAGTTACTAAAATTTACTGTTGATATAATTATTTGGAAAAGGGGATAAATGGTTACAAATATATTATTTTTATAATTTGCATGAACTTTAAGAAATTACTTTAGCACTTTAAGAAATTATAAATAGATCACAGATCATTTTATTTTTATTTAAAATAAAAATATTTATTTTGAACTAATTTCACAGATAATTTTGAATCAGAACAAGGTGCCATAATGGTTATTTGTGTGATTTAAATCCTTTGAAGGAGAAAGAATACAGGATGTGCTGGTGAGAAATACATTTTACAATCCATGTATATTATATAACAAGCTGCAATACACTGGAATATGTTGAAATGTGAAAATATAATTTTGATGTCTTGACTAGACCTTGAGGTCTCATGAACCCTGAGAGTTTTAACAACAAAAAAAATGCTCATTAGTAAATTTGTGCATCAAAGTTCACATAAAACATCGATGGGGTTAGTTAATTCAATTGCATAAGATTTTTTTTTTTTTTTGTCTTTTTCCTTTTTATAGGTACCGGGGATCAAACTCATGACTGCCTGCTTGCAAGGCAGGCGCTTATGCCGCTGAGCTAAATCCCCAGCCCCGGTATAAGATTTTCTGAATGTTGTGCCTGCTGCTGCTGTTTGTGTAGTAAGCCTCAGTCACATATGTACAGACATAGTCATGTCATGTCATGTACTGAGTGTGTCCTCTCGAGTATCTCAGAAAGTAAACAGCTAAGGAACAATAGATGCAGCTGGCCATTTGTGGAGACTGGGGAAGGAGAGTGGGAAGGGGACACAAGAGGTCCCCCCCACCCTGCTTTCCTGAGAAGAGCCCCAGTAATCCTTAGCAGGACCTCAGTATTGGCATTCTGTGTTGAATCCCTTTTTAAAGTACAGATGTAGGACCGCTGCAACAAAATATCACAAACTTGGTGGCTCAAAACAACAGAAACATGGCTAGAAGCCAAAATCAGCAGGCATTACAAGCCCTGGTGTCCTCTCTCAGGTTGTAGGAGAAAATTGTTTCTTGCCTCTTCCCAGCTTCTGCTGGTTGCTGGAAATCCTGGTTGTACTGTGTCTTGTAGGTCCATCACGCCATCTACTTTGCCTTCTCTCTCCTGTCCCTCTCCCTCTCCCTCTCCCCCTTCTTCAGCCTTCCTCCCTCTCCTCTCCCCTCCTGCTGGGAATTGGACCCAGAATCTCATGCACGCTAGGCAAGTGCTACTCTCAGCCCGCTCTTACTTTTATAAGGACACAAGTTATACAGATTGAGGGTTCACCGTAATCCAGTATAATGCTATTTTTACATAATTGTTTACATATGCAAAGATCCCGGTTTCAAATAAACTCATATTCATTGATATATGGGGTTAAGACTTCAACATATCTTTCTTTGGGAGAGACACAATTCAATTTATAATATGTATATCTTTATTTCTTTTCAAGAGTGAAAAATAGCACCATAAGTTTTGTAAAATCAAAGAGTACTTGTCTGTATTTTTAACAATTCTTACCTCTAATCAAAATCTAGTCTCAATCATATGTAGCAAATGTATATAAGTCATATGTAAAGAGACTCAGAAATATTTAAAGTCAGATAAGCAAGCGATGTAACAGAGAATTTTAGCAGACAGATGAGATAGTAAACACAGAGGTCACAAAGAGGGCTTACTTTTCTTCTTTTTATGATCGATTTGCTAATCTAAGGTAGAATGTGTAGAACTGAATCAGCTTCTGCCACGGGCACATTTTCAGTGAGGACAGACTCAGTGTTGGGAAAAGAAAAAAAAATTACCAAGAATTGAGGGTAGTATAAACACGACTTAAAGTGATGGATATGCAAGTGAGGTTTTCCTTCTATATTCGAAAGTGGGTACAATTACTTTCGATTTTGCTTCAACTTTATCTACAATTAAGCCATAAATTACTTCTTCCATGTCTAATAACTCTTTGAGCAGTAAAATCAAAGGCATAATAATTTGGTCCGCTGAAGAAAAGGAAGACGTCTACAAAGAAAAAGTTAATTTATTGAATTAGTTTACAGTAGATCCTAGATATCTAAATATACTACCCTCCCACTCCAATATATCATCTAAATATAAATATGCTATTTTAAAATTTAATCAAGCTTATTAGCAAGTTTTTTCCCTCATACTTACTATTCTCCTGGAAAACTGCATCAATTCTACTTCTTATTCCTGGAAAAGCAATTGATGTGCATTTGGGAAAGCCTTGGTCCATGGATTGTCTTCGATTATCATACCTGATAGAATAAAATGTCACATGATTTAAGACTGTTATAGATTATAATAATAGTTTTCTTTTAGTGGTCTGAATGTTAACAAAGTGCCTTTTCGTGCACTTGTAAAATTTGGTCTTCACAGTGTCCTATTTACTGGGATTATGAATGGTTAATTTTTCTACCTAAGAGTATACACATGTATAAAACTTATATATAAAACATCAGTTATACTCAGATTGTTATCATTATGTTTTATTGTTATACTCAGATAAACTTGGATGGTTATCATTAATTATAAAACAGGGTTCTTATGGCAGACGCAAGATTATTGCCAAAAATATGATCTTATGTGTTCTAAAGATTTTATTTAACTGGTGTATCTTCTATTAATACATATGTACGTGTGCATATACAAATAGAAACAATAAGTTCATCCAGGGCATGGAATTCTAATGGAGATATGGACAATACTTGTTTGCGTGTGTCAGGATTTAACTCACACATGAAAATTAGCCTATGTCTTTCTTTGCATCCCTTTTTGCACTTTATGCAGTTGTGTTATTTTTCACAATTCAAAATCCTTATTATTACTTTGAAGATATTTTGATTTTATAAAAACAAGCTTTCAAAATCCATAGCAACATCAATTATCTTATAAGAATGGGTATAACCTCTCTAAAACTTATTGGAGACCACTAGATTTTTGAAATCTTCATGGCTAATGGTTAGTGGTTTGTAGACAGGGAAGAAAAGCACACGATTTAACATCTAATTGAAAAAGCAGTTTTTCTTACCTCCAGAACAGATTGTTTACAAAGAAATATGTTTTTCCTCTATAGAAAACAGCTGCATCAATAGCTCGGACGGTGCTTGGGAATCCAAAGTTTGATATATCCCTGGGGTAACCTTGCTGAATGTCATAGCCATTCATAACCCAGTAATGGTTTCCTGTCAATGATTCATGTTGTATGTTAAGTAAAGTTCTCATATCTCTGCAAAATATTGTATACCATCTCTTTGTATAAATTCATCATATAAGTTAAAATGGAACCAATAGTCTTTGAAAGATGAAGGTGGCAACTGTAAGTTCATGACAGTCAGGATATCTTTAATGGTTCTTCCTCATATTTTCAAAAATTTACTATTTAGACTTTTTAGTTCTCATATTCAGAACTCCACAATTGAAGATCTTACTTTGTATAGATTCTGTATAGAAATTAAACTATGACCTATCTAGGATGAAAGTGAGGTTATCAAATTCTATCTAGGATAAGGGAGGGGAAATTTAATAAAGATGTTCTAACGTGGTCTTATTTTATGCAGGAGAATACTAAGGTCTGAAGAGGATGCAGACTTGGCTCCAATTCACACAGTGGCTCATGATCGCGAGGAAACCAAGTCATCTCCCTGTGAAAGCCTGGCCAGCACTGTTCTCAGCTCATCTCTTTCAAATCTGCACGGAACAGCAAAGAACCCCACCTCTGCCATTTGTTACAACTAAAATAAGCAAAAAACTTTATGGAGTTACCTTTAAATATGAAAACTAGGTCTTTATCTGAATCCTCATAAGCTGCTTGTATGCCGTTGGGTAAGGATGGCCAGAACAGAGAAATAAAATTGAGGTCAAGCACTTGCTGCTGAGGATGCCGTCTCCAGAAGAACCTAGGAGAACAGAAGGAAAGACACACACACACACACCTAAGTAGTTGGTTTCTAGGGCTCTTAGGCAAATAATAGCCCTAATAAGATTAAGATGTGTTGTGTACAAGTAGTGACTCCCTACAGTGAATGTAATCTTTATGTACTGCAAACAGGTACTCAAAAAATTTTTTTAAAGTTTCAGGGAGGATATAACAATATAGTGTATACAGTTTCCAACACAGTGACCAACATATGCCTAGGTTTATGGGGTTGTTGGCCATCTGGAGACAACAGTTTCCAGAAGATGTCACAAGAATGATCATATTTGGTTACATTTGACATTGTCCCTTATTGGCACATTCACAATCTTTGTCAGTATTTTTCATAATTTTTCTTTTACATATTAAGGATATATAGACACTGATAAAAACCAACAGCACACACATTCAGCCTGTGACTCTACAGTCATAAAGCAGCTGGTAGAAAACTGGAACTTTTCAGTTAGATGATTTGACTCACTGCTAGTTAAGGGGGAGTCTCTTTTTACTTGAAAAATTTTGGATGCATTTGAATGATGTTTTGATTGAGTTCAACTCACCTATTAAGTTCCCAAGTAACTATAGCTTATATCTGTTTACATCACAACAAATATGTGAATGCTTGTGAATGTTTTAAGTTTTTCTTCTTGACATTTTGTGCTGCCCAGCAAAATGTATAAAAAATTCTAGTGAGCTGCATATGTGTAGAATTCAAAGAAAAAGCTAATATGTAATTTAATTAGAATCCAGTTCTAAGGTATGTCAATAAGAAGTCAAAGGAATGGAAAATTGAGTTTTATACTTGTCTTTGAAGAAAAATATTTCTCCCCGGAGTGTGGTAACAGCATCAAATGTCAGTCTGGGGTCACAGGCTGTAGGAGTGCTTGGTCCAGTAGGCTGGATAGGGTTGTTTGAAGGTCCTGTGGAGAAAAAGGATTTTTATTAAGTGTTAAATTCAGTGTGACTATTATTATACTTTAGCTGCTCCTCAGGAAGCTGAAGGTCTTCATCTGAAGAACAATCTATCAGACTATTTTACAAAGTATTGGTTCACCTTTTTAAGGTTTTTGTTTGTTTAATCAAAATAATGATACTTTTCAGGGTATATCCTAATCCTGAGCTTCTGATGGCTGTGCCTTACCCATAGTACACATCCACCGTGTTGTACTGATGTTTTCTTCTCTTGATAGATCTGCTGGGGCCCTCCAACTTCTCCTACCATGAACAAGACTTTAGTGAACATCCTTCACATGTTATATAAATGTCCCCTTATGGGGATATGTGAAAATTTCTTTGATAAATATGTCTTTGAGCAGGATTGTTATACAAACAGGAAAAGTCGTGTCTTCTTAGAATATACAACATTGAGGAGTAGAAGAGAAGGGAAAAATCTACACTGTTCAGAGGTAAAAACTGAGAAGCACCATGATGTATCTTGTCCTAACATTTTAAGGCAGAATTAAAAACTAAGTCCCCAAGGTCTTCTTTGCTAATGCTAAAGTTACTACTGGTGATGTTTAGAGTTTGATTTGAACTTACCCTAAAGATGGAATGAGAGAGACGCACAAAGGAAGATATACTCAGGTGCGGGACTGCTGGGGTTCATTCCTGTGCTTGTTCCCTGGTCCCACCATTTACTTCCTGGTTCTTCAGATAAACTTACCATAGATGGCCTGAATGCCATTGATGTCATCTTGAGGGAGTGAGTAGGTATTGGGATCGCTGAAAGCGTAGTTGGGATACATCAAGGCACCAGGGTCTGTGGAGTGAGAGAGCCCCAGAGAATGGCCAAATTCATGAGCAGCAACAAGAAACAGATTGTAACCTGAAATAGAAGCATTCATGGTGAATGACTCCATGCAGATCAGGGGTGGTAGGCATTCAAACTATAAGGGTCCTACTTCCTATCAATAAGCCCAAACTCCTTTACCTGGCCCTCAAAAGAGCCCTCATCTGACTCCTGCAAATATTTGAGGGCTCAACTTCTAGTCTGAGTCTTTCTGTCCAACCAACTTATGTACCTTCTCATTAACGTACAGTCCTTATAAACCTACTTTGGAAAAAAAAAAACAGTAATCGTAGTTGTAGAGTACCCACCATATGCTAGACACTGTAATAATGTACAATCCTTACAACAATTTTATGAAGTTTTATTGGTAATATTTTTACAGTAAAAGAGCTAAAGCACACAGCTTTTAAATATCTTTTTATCACTCTTGCAATTAGTAAGTTGTAGACCTGGAGTCAAGACCTGTGCTTTTAAATGTTCAACTTTCTGTTAATAATGAGAAAGTGAAATTCTACCAGTGCTCCAAGACTGGCTTTTTTTTTCACCATATTCTTCCATTATACATTAAGGAACATTATGTATCTCAAAATTCATCATTAAGTGCCTGGGTTACAATGCAAGAGGCTTTGGGGGATTTGAGTTTGATTCTCTGCGCTGCAGGAGTGCATAATCTGGAAGGGGAAATATGTGTGCCAACAACTTGAGCACACAAAACAATGAATGAGAACAGCTAGGAAAGAGATTCAGAAGTGTCAGAAATCTTCTGAGGAAGACCTCATCACCAGCTGAAGACAAGGTCGAGGATGCCCTTGTCATTGCATGGTTGTATGAGAGGGATTTTGGAAGGCAGAGTTAGGGGTCCGGGAAAAACATTTCAGGAAGACAAAGTGTTATGAGTTAATATAGGGAAGATGGAATAGTCAAATCGCGATATGGCTGTGTATTTGAAATATGAAAACAAGCCAAGAAAGATGAGGATGGACAATCACTAAGAACCTTCAATTCCAAGTGATGATACTTGGGCTCGATTTGGTGGAGACCAGGAAATACTGAAAACATTTAAGAGGGAGAGTAATACAACTCAAGATCGAAAAAAATCTTGCTGCAGTGCAACACCCCCCCGACCAAAAACTAAACAAACAAACAAACAAAAAAAGCAAAAACAAAACAAAACCAAGAAGGGGAAGTGACTGGAAGGGGGTAGTTGGTAGCTGAGGTAGGAATTTGTATCATTAAGCAGATGATCATCCTAGTTAATGGGTGGCATAGGAACAGCGGGCATCAGTATCTGTCTTTTGTACACACAGTTCTGAGCACAGGGGTTAGGCAGAGTATGCACTGACAACTTAGATGTTCAGAAAGTGGTGAGAGGCTCAGGTGTCAAGCAAGAAAACAGAAGTTACTTTTCTCTTTGTTATCTAAAATGTGCTCTGTTGCTTCTAGTATTTTCTAAAAAGTACACTTTGTTACCTTGTCCAGTGCTACATGGTCTATGTAGTGCTGTTCTCACATTTTTTTTCTTCCCATCAGACGGTGCTGCTTTCTTGTTATGAGATTATTTCCCTCAAAGGAGTGGTTTGCTAAATGGGAACATACTGTTGAAAGAGATCTATGAAAATGAAATAACTGGAGGAGAGAATGTGGCTGTTTTTTCCTAATAGAATAACCTTCCAAATTATCCTATTATTTTGGGAATTTGATTATTTCTGAGTTTGCAAAAATTTAAATAATAGGCCTTTTCAAACATCATTACATTTCAAATTTTAAAAAAGAGATGACCTGAAGCAACACCCAGCAACATTTTTAGGCTTTGTGCTTCTCTGCACCAACTGAGCCCTTTGGCTGCAGAGAAAAAGCAGTCGTGGATGAAGCATGGATGAATCAATGTGGATTTCCTACAATACGGCCTCACACAGACAGGGGCAGGCAGGATTTGATCTGACGCCTGCCTGTTAGGATCTGAATGTATCTCTCAGCAATTCATGTCTTAGAAGCTTAATCCCAATGCAACAGTGTTGGGAGTGGGGCCTAATGAGAAGTTTACACTAACACTGCAGGAAAAGGGCTCCAGGCTGAGAATTGGCCCTTTTGTCCTGCCTTCTGTCTCCTGCCCTCATGAGGAGAGCCTCTTCGGAAGCCAACACTTTGTCCTGGACTATCTGGCCTCTAAAACCATGAGAAAATAAGTTTCTCTTGCTTGTCAGTTACCCAGTCTCAGGTATTCTGTTACAGCAGCACAAATGTATGAAGATAATTAGGTTAGGAAATACAGTCAGTAATTAGCTTTGGATTTTTTAAAACCTAAATAACTTAGTGTCTTGAGGTGGCACAGGTTTTAAATGATCTATTTTTATGAATTTGAAATATTACTGTAATTATGTGTATGTGTGTGTGTGTATATATAGATGTATACACACGTGGGCATATTCTTATGGAGACAAAGGTAATTCAGAAACTGCATGTAATAAAATCTTGGTTAATTTACCTTTTGAGCTTACAGTCCATATTTCTTCTGCATCAAAATGAGCATCTCCTCCAATACCTTGACCTGGCTGAAAGGCATGAGCAAGAATTCCGTTGGGCCCATCAAATGGAGAATTGTCACCATGGTCTAAAACAAGATAATTTATGTTTTGTCTTTGTGACACTTCAGGTTAGCCAGAGAAAGCAAAACTGAGCATGACTGCATCGAACACACCTCTATGGAAGAAACCAATGTTGATGTCTGCTTCTTTCTCTGTGGTCCTGGTGAAGGTCAGAGGTGATGCACCACTCCACACCTGAAAAGCTTTTTCAATAGCTGTTTCCACGTCAGCCTGAAACAACTGTGGTGTATAATTTACGATCCTTCAAGACAAGAAGGTACATGAGGCATTTGTTATTGCATAGAGCAATCTCCTGTGAGCACACCAAGTTGCTCTTGTTGGAGTGAGTTGCATTTGCGTTGCCCTATCGCGGGAGGGGAGTACAAGAGGAGTGCGAACCTCAGGACTGAAGACAGACAGGACTGGAGAAATTACCTCAGTGTCCTCATCTGTAAAATGAGGACAATAAAATAGGATCCCTCCTAGTGCATTATTTGGTAAACAGTGGCCCACAAATACAGGATATTATTATTATTACTCACGTGTGGGAAGTGGGACTAGATTTTCTAAGCCTTATTTTGACCTTAAAATGAGTGTCTAGAGAGACAACTTCACATTGTTTATATTATTTGGAGAAGGATGAGAAAAATGACAGGCTTTGGGGTGAAATGAACCTATTAGGTCTCTAGCCTTTCATTCTCATAATATTCACATTTTATTCATTCTTCATTGTTCATAGCTCTGCAAGTTCAGGGGTTTTTATCTTTTATCCTTTGGGTATCCTATGTTCAAAAACATTGTCTGCACGTCATTAGAGCTCAGTCACTACTAGCTGACTGAATGAAGTCTGAACCTCCAGAAAAATTACCTGTAGGTGAGGCTTGTGTGTTTCCACTTGGGGTTTCCTGGGGTCATCATATACTCGCCAGAATCAGGCACTCCGCAGCGAGGCCTTTTCATCATCTCCAGAGTTTCTGCATTTGGCTTCCCCGTCACATTCAATCCAAAAAAATGCTGCATTTCTTTAAGTTTTTCAACAAACATATCAGTGCTATTCTGAATTGAAGATCGATAATTCTTCACTTGCAAGTGGTAGAACTTTTCTAGGTAATTCTGGACAAAATAAGCATACATAGGACCTTACTTTGAAATTGTCTTCAGTTCTCAGTTTTGCAATTCTTTCTAAGTAATTGCAGAGTTCAAGTGAGGACTAATAACCTGACAGCCACATGTACAGTAACAGCTTTGCAGTTTGACTTTGATGGAACAATGGCTACTGGAAAAAACTGATCCTCCATTCAGTGCTCCAAATAATACTTATACATAAAAATAGGTGTCTCATGAAGGATAAAGATCAAATCACACATACAAAATGTTATTTATAGTGAGGATACTGCCTTCTTATTTTTATTTAAGAATTAGGATTAGTATTTTTAAATGTCTGTTAAAATAATCAGTTTTTTAAAAAATCCTATTTACTACTGGAAAGAAGTTTTAATTATCTACATAAAGAAAGGGAGGGATAGGGAAGTGAGGAACTTACAAAATGACAATTTAGGTTCCAACTGCTGTATTGTCTCTTAAATGAGAATTGATCATTTCCGAAGAATTCTAGCTATGTTTTTGGACAAAGGTAGCAACACTGATATTAGAATTTTACTCACCAAATAATTTTTTGGAAAGGGTCAACACTCATTTGGAAATAAAGTTTCAGAGGAGTGTTAATAAGCCAATCATGAAACTTCTTCATCACACCTTGTGAAGCCTGGGACTACCTGTCCCAACTTTTTAGGTGACATCACACAGAGCACACACACTGAGATTGGATAGGCTTGGGTAAATCTTACTTAGCTCTGCTATGGATTAATTGTGCAAACTTGGACACATTACTTTTCTGATTTAAGATTCACTTTGGCCTCTGTAACGGATGTAATAATCATGGGAATGTAATAAAATTAGCAGAGGGCCTTATATAGAATATGCAATTGATACTTTACATGTTGCATTGTCTAAGGGAATATTTGTCATTATAAGGAAAAGAAGTATCAAGAATAATGTTTTTCCCAAACTGTAAAGGTAACAAAATTATGCATGAGAAAGTTTTGACAGCCTTCCCTTGTATTTCTTAAAGCTTTGGCCTTTCAAACTATAAAGCAATAGGGAAAGAAAGGTATTTGGTTTGCTCATAGAATGCTTCCAAGAGTTTATTAGAGTTTCTGGGGATATAGTTCAGCTGCACAGTGCCTGTTTGGCAAGTGTGAGGTCATGAGTTCGATTCCTGATACCATCCTCCCCCCCCCCCCCGCAAAAACAACCCCTAAGAGTTTGTAAGGTTGACAGTCTAGTGCTGGGAAATCTGATTACACTACTTACTAATTCCATTATAATCTCTCATTTATGTGCTCTCTTCTATATCTAGCAGTTTTGGTTGCAAAACAATGTCCTATAGTAGAGGCAGCAGGCATGTACAACTGGATTACAAGCATACTCTAAGACAAAGCCATAGATGAGAAAGAAAGTCATTAACAGAAAGTTTTATAAACAAAACCATTGCTTCTAAAGGGGTTTCCAGCTGGATGCGTTCTGCAGAGGTGCATGTCCAGGCTTTGAAGAGGCCACTCACTTGCTTTCATAACTAGATTTTGGAAAGCCCAGCATTCCCAGGTTGGAAACCTCTAGATCACTGAAAAGAGAGGCTCAACCAAACCACACAGTTAATTTCCTTCAGGCAGTTTAGATTGAAAAGAGAAAATAACCCTCAAAATGTCCTAGGAACCAGGAAAGCAACCACCATTCCACAGATAGTTAATTTACCTGAGCAATTTGTGTACTTTGGTCTTCTGAGGATTCAGAAGGTATGGGAGAGGGTTTGGCAGGCTGTGCATGGAGGAATAAAAGAAACACCAGAATCTTCAGACACAACATGACCTCGTCTTCAAACACAACCTCTTGTGACTTTCTTCCCTGTCCCTCTGGTAGGGACAAATGGGTACTGTGCTGCTCACAGTACCGTGTGTCACTTACTGCTGTCTCTTTAGTCCCTTATAAAGCCATGTCTTCAACAATTGCTGAATCAGGAATATGAAGCAACACAAGTTAAATACACTCTGACAGTTTTGCAACTTTAAAATGTGATTTAGTACCTCCAAAATGGAGGAGTATTTCATCAGAAAAGAAAGCATGATTTGTTACTCTTTGCTTTGAGGTTTTTAGATAGTTTTGCAAAACTGTCCGGTAAAGGAGAAGAAAGATGAGATTCATGCTGAAGCTATTTTCTGGCTTTGTAAGGTATTCAGTCTGCATTAGTCTATGCAGGAGAGTATCGTCAGATTAATGGCAGGTATCCTGGTACCACAGAGTACAGCGATAAAATCTCTGCACTTATTCACTCTCACTGTCTCAGGAGACTTGCACATCCCTGAGAGAGCTGTCACAAAGCAGGCTGTCTATGGGGTCCCAGAGTAGATTCTGGAAGATGTGGCTTTGGCATTAATGTGGTATCAGAAATTTCCCAATCTGTAAACTGAATTTTCCAGTAAAAGCATAAATACAGATGGCAATAATAACAGTAACAATTATAACAATATAAACATTTGTTAAATAGTTAAGATGTCCCAGATGTATCTACTGCGCACAATTTACCTCAGTCGATCATCACATAATCTCCAGAAGGATTTAGATGACCTGTGCAACACATATGCTTAGCTTGTGGAGGAGCCTGGGTAGTATGCTGAGAGACAGAGCTAGAAGCTTCGTCAGGCTTTGCTTTATAGTCCGTCCCTTGAGCTGGCCCACAGTGGAACAGTAGCTCTAGGCTTGATTAAATTCATGCAGAGGGAGTCAAAGGGGAGAGAGAAAGTGAGATGTTTCATGTGTTCCCAAAGAAGAAAGATAGCCGAAAGACTTCCAGAGGTGCATCTACACAGGTGGCTGTATCAGTCAGAGGCCTTTGGGCTTGCCTTCAAAATTATTTTGACTTTGGATGCATGTTGCCATATAATCTTTGTGCATATTAATTTATACACACACCACATATATATTCGGCAAGGGTAAATATTCTTGCATATAAAGGCAAATGTCAATTTGTATGATAAGTAATACAGTAATATGTAAACAGTATCTTTGCTTGATATATTCTGAAAAAGAGTTCAGCTCCTTCCTGGTGTTTCTCAGGAGCTTAGAAAACAATCCAAAGTAACATGCTCAGGGTTAGAGTACACCTAGATAGCAGATTACTGTTTGTGACGTAGATTCCTTCAGTCAGTTAATAAGCATTTCCTGTTGCTTGCTATATGACAGGTGGTGGGATGGGTCCTCGATTGTTGGAGACAAGATAACAGAAGTTCAGATGAAATGCTATGGATGGATTCTGGAGGAAAGTGAAGTTATGGAGAAGAGGAATCAAGATAGGCCTCACCGAGGAGTGGAATTTGAACCGAACCACAGAACTGAGGTAGACTATGGACATGCAGTGATGGGGCAGTCAATTCCCATGAGAATGGGGTGCTCCTCCCCCAGCAAAATTATTTTTCTAGGACCAAGTTATTGTTTTAGGTATACAACTTAAATGTAGCTTCCTTCATATTAAACCTTTAGCGAAAATAAAACCTTTTTTTACAGAAAGAAAATGCCTTAAAATTTGCCTGCTTCTATGTCTATAGTGTTTAAAGGGTTTTTAAATTATACCTTTCTTCTAAAAATAATGGTAAATGTCTTAGATGAGAGTCCAAAATTGAAGGACTCAGTTCTTTGGTGTTTGTGCTTTAAAAATAGAACTACTGGGTCTAAATTTTTAACCCTAGGTCCAGCCCTGATGCAGTGCTGTGTGTGTGTGTGTGTGTGTACCTCTATGCTGATGGAGAAGTGGGAGTTTACCAGTGAGATGTTTTACCTAGCAGAGCCTAGTCAGCCCAAACATTTGTATTTCTTCCCCTCCTGCTCCTCTCACAACTGGAGGCTGTTCAAATAAGACAGAACGAAGAAAATGATCAACCCAATGCGAATCATCCACAAACCGGTTTGACAGTGGCCCATGAAAACAGACCACGGAAGGATTAGCATTGCTATCCAGGCTGCTGTTTCTTGGCCAGCAAGCAATGAAGAACCATTTGATGGATTTACTTTGTTTTGAAAAACGTTTATTTTTTAATGTTAAAAAGGAATAAAGACAATGATACAGAATTTCAAAGCAAGATAATAGATTAACAATGGTTAATATATTGTTGTTATCTTCAAAGTAGTTGTTCAGATCTAAGATCCAAAATGTAAAAATAATTTATTTTGAAGTAGTCTGGTCACCCAATAATACATGCTAATTTATAAATAAATCCTTCCAAGCAGTCAGAATCATGAAAAACAAATGTGAAACATAGGATGCCAAGACTATGTAATGTTTTGTATTTGAACCTGGAAGGGAATCTGACTGGAGGCTGCACCCTGTGTTCTGGGTCTCTGACCCAGCACCTTAGTGGCTCCTACTGGTCACAGGGAGACAACACCTTTGGAATGAAGAGAGAGCTGCCCCTCTTCAGAGGTCTTCTCTCTCTTATTCGAGCTCCAACTGACTCCATGTTTCTCCACACTCTGCACAGAGCAAGGTCTCACAGCAGAGTCTGACTTTTTTTTTTTCTTTATTCCGAGAGAAATAACGCTTTGGGGAAGTTAGTTGCTGTGTTTTTGGTTCTGAGTTAGTATTTAGGATGGAATACTTTGTGGGCGTCCGCAGGGCATCCTGGTGTCTCACAGGGGACATTTTCCACTCCACACTAACCCAAGAGCTTCCACTTCCTTTTCTGTTGAGTGACCTCTGCTGGGCTTACGATGTTACTGTCTTTTTTCCTGCCTTCCTCTCTTTTCCTGTTTTCACGTTTGCTGATTTATTGTAGAGGATATCACAGAGGATGCAATTGAAGAGACACAGCGGAGGGCCAGCCGCGGAGCAGTGCAGAGTTTCTGTGCTGTCTCTGGCCTGCTGCTCTTTAGGAGCCCCATGTGCTCAGTCCCCGGAAGCACTCCAAGCCCCATTCTTTGGGGTTTGCCTGGAGCCTTCCCTGCTTCCCGATGGTTGCTAGTTGACTGGTGGGGGAACCCAGCAAGGCCTATCTGTTCTGGTTCTTCTTGGCCTTTGTGTTCTGTGCCTCCCTCCAGATCCTCTGGAAAAAGGAGGGTCTTAGGACATCTGAGGTGATCTAGCTTCTTCCCAGGCCTGGTTTCCTGGTGTGAACACGGGAAGGCTAGGCATGCCTGGACACCAAGGTCTGTCTCTGCCTGCTTATCTCTTCATGAAGTTCCAGAGCTGCCTTCCTGTCTCTTCATGAAGTCCTCTTCAACATAGAGACACAATATTCTCTGTTATTCCTTTTAACAGTTTGGTCCATTATTTATCTATGTCACATGTACACACTATTCAACAGATACATACTGTATATCTGTGGTATTCTTTCCAGCCAGTTAGAATTGGGAGAGAAATGACTCAAGTTGTTCTTGCTACTTTTAGACTTGCTACTTTTAGACTGTGCTAACAGAGATTTGCATACCATGCTATAATTACTTAGAAGATGGAAACATGAATTTTTCTGGATAACCTCGGCAAGAGGAAATAGTGGAGTTAATTTGGCCCTATATTTCCTGACTTAAATTAACCTTGCTGCTATCTTATACTCTAATTTAAAGATAACAATATACAATGTACTAACCATTGTTACCCTCTAATTATCTTGTTTTGAGATTTTTTTCCCTTTAAAATAAAAAAGTACATATTATAAAGACATCAGTGTGAAAGGCATATCATAAATGGTAATCTCTTCCTCGTTTCTCCTTGTATAATGTGTGGCATCTCAGGCTTCTTTAGATTCAAAAAACATAAACATGGTTCAGGCTTATTTTAATTTTAATGCACCAACCCTTCTCTTTTTTCCCTGAGGAAAGTCAGTCCTTTCTTTAATATTGGATGCAGTATTATTTTGGACAACCAAAGCTGAAAAATTTCCTCCATCATCCTTGTCTGTCTGAACCCCGTCTTAATTACTGTCACATGTTATCTTCCATTAATGCAGGTTTTTGTTTTGTTTATTCTGGCTCTCTGTTTTGATTTTTTTTTTTTTTTTTTTTTGGCAGTAGCGACAGGGATTTCACTTAGGTCTTTGCAATGAGCTTCATCCCTAGTCTTTTTATTTTTTTAAAACAAAATCTTGCTAAATTGCCAAATTGCCTAGAGCAGGATCTAGTTTGTAATTTTCCTGCCTTGGCTTTCCAAAGAACTAAGATTAAAGGCATGTACCAGCATGCCCAGCTTATTAATAAAGTATTTCATGAATGTTTCATGTACTCACAGAAGACCCCTTATCATGTATTTCTCAAGAAAAGAATTGTTACAGTTTTATGCCCCCCAAAGTCTTTGTAGTGATCATTAAGACAGTAAGTAGAGAAATTAATATCTACCCAGGAAGAGATTCATGCAGATGCAAATTTCTTACCCTCTTCTTTGGTATCTAATAATTCTGGTAACTTTCAGCAAAAATCCCATTAAGCTTCTTTAGCAAGAAATTTATTGGAGGCTTAGCCAGAGTCCTCCTTTCTCCTAATATTTCCCCTTAGCAATTTTCCATCCCCTTACTCCCGCACTGCTCCTTGGCTACAAGTCTCCATTCATCCATGCTGTGTTTGGAAACCAGCCCAAATTCATTCTGATGTTTCTTTTCTCCTGTGTAAATGGCTCCTGAATAAGTTCTGCTTTTATGGCTGTCCACTGTTGGGGGCCACAAATAAACTGAGTGTAGAGGATGTCTGAGGTGGTCCTTGTTATGCCCTTTGAGCCAGACTGGGGCGAGGAAATTTCCTGCTTTCTTCTGGTTACAGCTGAAAGCCCTCGGGTAGTGACAGTGCACTCACAGGACAAGACAGGGCCTGCTGAAGACAATAAGACACCTGGGGAAATACAGTTTTCTTATTGCTCCTTATCTTGTCCTTGCAAGAATGGTTTGTTCTTCTTCCTAGCACAACACAGTTGCCATTACTGTTC